AATTGATAATCCTGGAAAGAAGATAACCAAGATGTTTCTTACATTTCCCCTTATCAAATACCCCAAAATATCCCCAAATATCTCCATAACCACTCGGCTGGTGACACAAGGCAGGGAGACCAACGTGAAGTTAGGGAGTGTGGCAAAGGCACGGAGGTTGCATCTGAAGACACAGAGGGTGTAAAGAGAAAAGACTGGAAAACACACTGATAAACATGCTGGAAGTCCAGCTAGGACGGTATAACAAGGGAGAGAATTCAGTTGAGAGCAGGTTGGAGCGGGCACCACAAGAGTGATTCTGGGGGTGAACACAGTGATTTCGGCTTGATGTGCAGGAAAGGCAGGCAGCAGGATGCCAAGAGGGGTGATAGCAAGAGCCGGCAAAGGAGCAGGGAAGGGAGAGCCTGAGCCCCATGCACAGACAGCAGGCAGCATGTGGCTGCTGAAGGGCAGGAGGAAGGCTCTGTACATGCTCTGGGAAAAGCAGCCATTGCCCTTATCCTGCTTGCCACAGCACACACAAATAAAGCCGGGACTGCAACAGGCTCCTCACAACAGGGTTTTATGCTAGGGTAACTGCTGTCTGCCATGGAGAGTCATGTTCCTTGTTCAAATCTGTAGGGAATTAGGATTTACCTTTACTGATTTCTTTTAGTATGTATGCCCATACATTAAACTGAAATGAATTTTAGGAGCATACTCATGGCCTTTCCAAGATCTGCATTCCACTCCACACCTGGTGTAAGTTGGAGGAGCACATCCCCGGCTATTGATTTTTCTGACACCTTTGAATTAATTGAAGGTTAAAGTCTGTCAAGAGAATGTTTAATTCATGCATTTAGCAAGTTCTTTCATCTGCCCACACAATATGCCCAAGAAATATGGTAAATTGGAGCAATAGCTCAGTCAGGATGAAAATGAGAAACTGTTAAATTTCAACGCTTCTGCCAAGATGAGAAAGCAAGTATCAGGATCATCTCTAAACCATGAATTCTGCTAGCTGAAATAATTAAAGAGCTCCTTCTGGGCTTGCTTCGTGGAGTTAACCCATACTGTTGCACAGAGGAGATTTCCTCATCCCAGGGCTCTCAGTTGCCCCTGGACATCAGTGGCACCAGTGACAGAACTGGACTTTGCCCTGGCTCAGCCACTTCTTCCACCTTAGTGTCACCAAGGCAGTAGAGAAAACCACCACGGAAGCACATACGCCAGGTAATTCCTGCGAGGGAGACTTATGAAAGGACAGCAAAAGTAACGGAGGTAAGCTGGACATGAATAAACTTCAACTGGAATTCGGAAGAAAGTTCATTCTTTAGTGCAGGAGCAGCGGGATTTTGAGACAACCTTCCACATGGCAGAGCAAAGCCAGGAAAAAAATCCCACAGGAAAAGAATTTCAACCCAGACCCAGTTTGGTGCTTTTAGCTACAATTGGTGGTTTTATGAAACAGACTCTGTGACGACAGAAATGCACAGGATTTTCCTCCGTAACCCACGAGATCCCCTCTAGGTTGACTATTTAATGCAGACCATGAAATCTCATTGCACAAAAATGCCACCACCCCTGTAAGTTTCTGTAGGTCTAATTGGGTTTGATGGATACCCGTGCTTTGCTTAGAGCAAGAATGCTCCAGAGAACATGAAATGGCCACTTAGGGCCGAAGCATTATAGTCTGGCTGGAGCAGTACTGATGCTACAGCAATTTACCTTAATGACTCAAGAGCATATCTCACGGCGATGCTGTGTAGCTGTCCTGACCTAAAAGCCCTCTCATGGCTTAAACTCAAATTTATGCCACTCACAGAAGACATCTGAAAGAAAAAAGCGTATCCAACAAATCCAGGAAGAAAACCAGGATTTAAAACTATGACAACCCAGAGATGAAAATGTGTTGAAGGAAAATTACACCAGAGGAACCAATGATTACAGAGGTCTCATAGCAGGAAGACCATTAGGTCAGGGGTCAGCAGTGAAAGCCATCATCAGCCAGTACTTGGGTGCAGCACTGGCCCCTCCACTGGTGTGTGCTCAGGGGGCTACAGACATCTTAGCAAGCAGCTTTGCTGTCTCTGGAGATGTCATATGGCCATGTCACCGCTGCAGATGGGTAATGTCACCAAAGGGCTCCATAAGGGCCATTCCCAGCAGAGACAAGTCATTTGGCAACATCTTAAAGAGAACAATATGTGTATGTTGGCAAAGGAAGCCGGGGCAGAAAGAACAGGACGCCTGTCCAGATAGAGCTTTAATTAGACAATTGATAAATGATAAATGTTATGTATTTGAAACACATCAGTATGCTGTTCATGTCATGCTTAGGAGTGATTCATCTTTCTCACTTCTCACATACGAAAGGCTGGTCAGTACATCAACCATCTCTGCCTCTTCACACCTACATTCTTCCCGCCTCCTTGCTTTAAGGATATAAAACTGCGAAATTAAGAGAAGCTAAGGAAAACAGAAGGGAAGAGCTGCTAGCAATGCTTCACCCCTGGCTGCAGGCTCCACAAGATGGATTTTGCAGATGGAGTTTCAAGGACAAACTGGTGTTTATGTGCTGTGAGGCCAGGAGCTTCATGGCAGCTGTACCCACAGCATCTCCAGTGCTGTGTGTGCCATCCGTGCAGCTTTGCCCTTGTGGAAGAGAAGATGGCACATGAACTGGCAGGGAAGGAAGAAAATTGGCTGAAGTTATTTTGGAGATGCAAAAGCCATCAAATCTGGTAATTATCGTTTTCCTACCAGGAAGGCATGAGCTGGAAGTGTTTAATGACAAGGAAGGGTGAGCTAGCAGCAGCTGGAGAAGCAGCTTGGGACAGACTGGAGATGCTGTCTTCAGCAAACCTCACCTCCTACAGCACGGTGTTTTCCTCCTGGCCTTGGCCACACATCCTTGATCATCCTCTGCAGGTTTCTCTCCTGCCAGCACTGATCTGCTTCCTACTCCTTTGGTCTCACACCTGTGGAACAAATCCCTTCTGCATAGGTGCACCGTCCCTCTGGGAGGCAGAGGGAAAAGCAGTTGAGGCTTTTGTTTGGCAGCCAGGGCTGGAAGTCCTGATATGGTGTCTTCACAGAGAGGTATCTGCAAAAGCGTGCTGATCCTCATTGCTGCTCGTTCAAATGAATGAGGCAAAACCGACAAGTTACTGGTGATTGTTTCCCTTTTGGTTCCCAGCAGAATAACTTGGTCTGCCAAGTTTATTTCTGGAAGGTGCTGTAGTGCAGACATGTAGGCTCAGCTCTTGTTTTACACACTCTGATGTTCATTGATTTCAGTGGAATTGCTCTTGATCCCCGAAGAGGTGCAAAGAAAAGGTAAGTGCATTTACTGTGCAGCATAGCTACGGGAGGTGGTGCCTGGGTCTGAAGGAGGGGTATGATCCTTGGGGCTCAAGAGGCACAGAATCAGTGTGCTGTTTATTCCTGTTATGTGAAAATACCTTCTCTCTCAAGCAGCAGATAGCCTTCTAAACACAATACTGCAGGGCAGTAGCAGACCTTTTCTTTAGGCTGTTAGTTCCTTAATCCTGTGAATTTCTAACGTTTCCCAAATTCATCAGGGGATTGAATTGCATGCAGTGGTCACCTTTAAAGTAATCAGTGGATGGAGGACCTGCAGCCAGAGCTAAGTTTGCCTGTGCCACACCATGCAGCCTGGGGGAGGTTACTTCAGGTGACAGCATGAAAGCACCTTCAGTGACAGTTTGGTTGAAGTTTCTGGAATGAAGAAGTCAGGCCCTTCTGGAACCTAAAAAGCAAATCAAGTTAATGGTCCAGTTGAGAAAAACCTTCTCAAAGCCCAGACTGACTGCTTGGGGTGGGAATGAGAAGGTGTAGTAAGACTGGTAGACACAAATGTGTGCAAACACAGCAATGACTTTCAAGCATTTTGCTCACTGATGCTCCTCTGGCTCAGGGAAAACACACAGAGCTGGGATGGATGGGAAGATGACAGCTAGTGGCAAAGCATCCTGACCATGCTGCCTCTGCCTGCTGACTGCCCTCAGAGTCCTCTCTGGCAGCCGTGTAGGAGGAATGGCAGCACCACGAGTTTACACACAGAGCACAGGAGGGATGCTACTCAAGCAGTGATACAGAACATCTCTTCACCTTCCTCTCTGGAAATCAAGACATTTCCACCCACCCCTGCAGCAAAATTTGCCTGCTTCTACCCACTGTGACACAGCTGCTACAGCTCCGCTCAGTTCAGAGAACTGCTGCTACCGATCCTACATCAGCTGAGGATCTCATTTCAAGGATTTCAGGCTTGCCTTCCACATCTCCTTTACTCATTCTGTCTTAGAGCAGGTGGCACAGAGCACCTTGCTCCAGGGTGCAGAAGAATGGGTAGAGCTTTGTAAGCAGTGCTCACTCTAGAGATAATGGACGAGTTTCAGACAGGTATTAAAAACCACGTATTAGCCTGTTAATCAAGGGAAGTCTGTCATGATGCAAACGTGTACCTTTGGTTAGCCACTGACTGGGTAAAACATATTTAAATACCTTCTATGTATCGGCAAAGTGAGCAGGCAAACCAGAAACTCACATTCCTTTCAGACAAGAAAAAGCAGCGCTCCTGAAGGTTTTAACCCTAGAAGCAAAACTTTCAGGTGTGAAAACGTCCTGGGCCCTCTGTCCAAGCCACCCCAAGGTACCTGTCATTTTTTTTTTTATCAGCTAACCCCAGTGCAAAAATGGGAGACAATAAAACATCCCTTTTTTGGTTTGGTTTGAGTTGGGTTTTTTCTTTACTACTATTTACCTGGGGAGGACCTAGACCCTAACCTGATAGGCGTCCTACACATTGCAATTCCCACTGAGCCACCAGGATCAAAGCCACTCAGCATCTTAAGAGAATCAGGCTCACCCCTCCTAGGAGAGGAGCTGTGCAGTGCTCCCGCCGGCAGTCTGCGGGAACCAGGCTGTCACTAGAGGGAGCTGCAGCAAGAATAAAGACTCGCATTTTGTCCTTCGGCACACACAACACAGTCCACGCGTCTCTTTTGAGTTACAATTTTTATTAGACGAACATGGTTTCAGTATATAACGTGTACACGGCCTAGGATGCAACATGCTCCCTCCCCCAATGAGTTACAAAACATTGATGCCATGAAGGTGAACAGCGACTCTGCATTTGTGACCTCACGGGGTGTGACAAAAGGCCAGGAACAGGAGCTTTGCACACAGGTGGGTCTGCACAGGACAGGGTGAAGCACATTAGGAAGAGGTAAAGAATAGGAAGAAGAGAGCAAGCTGGATCTGCCCTGGCTGAAGGACTGCTATCATGAAGCTGTTCTCCATTTCCCCTCCCAAATTCCTTAGGGAGCAGGAGGATGGTGGCTAGGCCATGATGCAGCTGGAGTCCCATGGGGAGAACTGCGTGGCTGCACACATGCACTGCCAGCCAAGGGCCCCTGTGAGAACCACTGCTCAGGGTGCTGTGGGCCATTCTGCACCATGTCTTCCACTCCTGCCCTCTGCGCAGGGGAAACAGGTGGGGCTTCCTCCTACTCCTCCCACTGCTTGTGCCAGGATCTAGTGAAATCAGTAGACAATTCTGATTAGGCAAGTGCAAATACCTAATGGGATATAGCACTTGCCTGGTGATGCCCACTCTTGCACTCCTGTAAAATGCCACAAGGCACTGCCTACAATCTCATGGTCCTACTTCTGAATCATGGTATTCCCTGAACTGGACTCCCTAAGTAAATGGCCTGATGGGGAGACAGGGTAGGGAAGAGATCCAAGAAAGCCACTGAAAGCTTAGGAGCTCCACTTCATTTCAGCAATAGCACTTGGGCTGCTCAACTCTCAAATCAGATAGATAGTTATTTTAAAGTGTAAACATGGATTTAGGGACTTTACTCCAGGTCCATTTCCCCTTTGGTTCAAGACAGTTAACAAAAAGGAAAAGGAAAGAAAAATACAAAAAGCCACACTAAGACAAATCCAGAGTCCAGCAGACTCACCAAAAACTGTTTCAGTCTTACAAAGCATGTGTCCTTTGACTCAGGCCTCAAAAACAATGTACTGTGTTATTAAAAAAATAGCAATATAGAAACTACCCCTTTCTTAGTTCAAAGTTTAAGCACATGTAAGAAGACCCTACAGAAACAGTCCTCTTTCTGACAAGGCACTATCCAGTAGCATGTGGCACAAACAAAAACACCTCTATCAAAGCCACTGATACAGTGAATGTGTGCATGGATGTCAGCCCACACAGCAACTTCAGCTAGGTACAAAGGGTTACAGTTTAATTCACACTACTCTCCCTTTTAAAAACACAGGGTAGTTACAAGTATTAGCTAAAAATTGGGATCATTTGGTTCTCATATGCATATGCAAGTATTTTAAACAGAATAAAGGATTTGTTATTCCTTTCAATAAATGGCTCTATTTTCCACAGACCTTTTCAGTTACCTGATAGCTACATTTCATTATTACAAAACTGGTTTTAAAAAATCCCACATCATTTTGTGTAACAAACTAGAACTCTACTTGCTTTAATTACAAAAATAAGGCTGTCGCACAACAGACCAAATTCACATTCAAGCAATGTATATACTTTTTTTTTCCTTCTAAACTAGCCACTTAAAATTCAAATGCTCTAAGGGACTTACACTGCCAATCCATGCAAGCAAGCAGGATACCTTTGGAGCTAATGTTGTCCTTCGTACAACCGATTATGCCCACACGCGTGCTCTGAAATAAGCTAGGTTTACCTACCTACCTCTCCACTGAACAGGAGGCTTCTATTCTACAATTATCAAGAGGAGTTTTGTGAAACTAATTTAATCCCTGGAGAAATCAGTGTGGTTTTGCCTTTCACATCAGTAAACCTGCGATTTTCCCCAGGATTACTCCTGTGTATATACTTATACACTTACCTAATCTTTCGAAACTGGGACTTCAGGCAGTTCTCAAAGTTTACAATGTATCAAGTACATGATAAATCCAGGATGGCTTCTCTGTAATCAACCGTGTAATTATGTAAAATTATATCTATATTCATTTGAAAATATACATGTTTTCTTTTAAGTTTGTTTTTAGGAATAGTTACATTGAACTTGGTGAAGATAACAACAACCAGCTCCACCCCATGTCACATTCCCTTCCTATAACGAGCTTCAAGTCTCATTAAAGTGTGCGACTGGTGACAAGAACATCACAATAACTTACAACAGATAACATAATTCTTTAAAATGCACATGCATACATATATGTACATATGTACATATATATGTATGTATATGCATGTTATCAGCTCACATTCAGGATTCCTGTAGAGAAGGTGCTGCATCTAAGATTTTGACTAGTAAACACAACCATGGACTCGAAATATGTGTGTGCTCCATCTAACCCTTTCACTGAGCAGAGGAGGCACCAGAGGATCCAAAGTGAAACTGATCTATGGATGGACTCCTTTAACATCTCCTTTTTCAAAGTTTTCTTGCCTTTGTACTAGAGTGAAAAGCCACACAACTGTAAGCAGTTTGTAGCTGAGACAACAAGAACAAGAAGGTAACCTGTTCTTCACTGTAACAACTGGCAGTCATGAACATTGTTCATGTCATGACTGTAGTTGTAAGCTGTTGTCCAGAACCTGAGAGGCTACAGTTCTATTGTTCAGCATCTTCAGCAGGGACCTGGATGATGACCTAGTGGGCACCCTCAGCAAGGCTGTGAATGATACCTGAACCTGGTTGGTGGAGCTGGCAGAGCTTCAGCTCAGTGGCATCCCAATAACCTTGAGGACTGGGCTAACAGAAACCTCAGGAAGTTTGCTAAAGACAGGTAGAAATTTCTGCCTGGGGGTGACGAAGCATCAGTATGGGGTCGAGGTGACTGACAGAATAATACTCCTGCTAAAGGGACCTGGGGATTTTAACGAAAGCCAGGTTTATCATAAGCCAGCAATGTACTCACTGCAGAAAGGGGAAAGCATGTAGTGCGCTACTTCAGAAGTGTGGCCTGCAGGCTGAGGAAAGTTGTTATCCCCCTGGCCACATCTGTAATATTGGTTTGGGATCTTCTCCCAGTTCATGAAGGATGTGAACAAACTGGAATGAATAGCCTTCCACCAAAGCACAACAGCCAGGGACCTAAAGCACACAGCCTGTGAGGAGAGGCTGAGGAAGACGGTTTTGTTCGCTCTCATAAGAAGAAGGCTGATGGATAATCTAATAGTAGCTTATGACTAATTTGAGATACTAAAAGGTTGGTGCCAATCTCTTTCTGTGAGTGCCAGAAAACATAGCAAAGGCAACAGCCACAAATTACAGCCTTGGAGCTGAAGCTGGACATTAAAGGAAAGTTTTCAGCAGGAAAGTGCTACAGCACTGGCACAGGTTACCTAGGGGGTTACAAGGTCTTCATAGTTGGATATTTTTAACACTCTGCTAGACAAACCCATATCTGATTCGACCTAGTGTGGTGTTAGCCTGGATTTTGACAGTTCTGGGCCAGATGACCTCCAGCTGTCCCTTCCAACTAACATGTCTCAGATGCCATGATGACTGATTTTAACAGAACATGTTAAACATTTGTTGCACAGGCAGTGTCACTTTCTGACACTTTTTAAGAGTCTGGCTTCCTTCAAGCCACACAGTCTGAGTAATGCTGTGATTGCAAAGAAGCTTTTCCACATAATGGTTGTCTTTTTTTACCCAAAGACATAAGGACATTTATTGGAATGACACTACCCTGTCATTATGAAATCACTTCAGTAAAAGCTACATTATAGCATAGCTGTTATTTTCATAGCCAGACTTGATTCAAAATGCATAATGAAGTTTGACTTTCATCTATAATGTATTTTGGAATGGTTATTGGCAAGTCACAGGCCTAAATGTGCCTATGTGCATCAACGCAGTCCCACTGGAATGATCTCCATGTCCTTTACTTGACTCCTGCTCCTCAACCAAGCTGACCATTGTGGCTTCATCCAGCAGAGCACACACTCAGCTTTCTCACTGTCTTTGAGGCACCTCCACATTTCTACACCCGGGGATACAACCAGGATAACAGCTAGGTGAGTTAGGTGTGCTCTTGTTCCATGATAAAGAGTTTAACCATCCATGGGACTAAGCCCTGGCTTTGAAAGTATCTCCTGACTCTCATGTGGCTAATGGTGGAGCTGTGTGTTATTGAAGGTAAACTCCAGGATTTGGCAAAATTTCATTTTAAGATTGTCTAACTATAGAGCTCCAACTATGGATGTTAAGTTTTCTCAGTTAAGCAATACCTTAATATTATCATTAGCTGTGAGATCTCTTCTTCTGAACTACTCAGTATTTTCCATCAAACGTTTTTCTGCACATTTCACCTCCACTTGGAACCATGTCAAAATATTTCACTTTGGCACCTTCTCCATAATAACAACTTTTTGAACAGTCAGTTGCAATGTGCATCATTAAACAAATGGAGTTTTCATGAACATGGTTAGCAGCCCATGTCTCTTACAATAAACATGATCTAGCATAAACATCACTATAAATAAATGTAGAGCAAAACCACAGCAGTTATTGGCTTACATGGAGACCTTAAGATTGACAATTTTTACCTTCTAGATCATAACCAGCACAAACATTCTAATAATCACCAGCGTTTTAATTATCATGAGGAGCTAACTTCAACTACAGTAGCTGGAAGAATTAAAAAAGGTGAAAAATCTGACTACATAAGTATATCCATGAACAACAGAAGCCCTACTCTTCCACTCCTTATTCTCAAACACAGGTGTCTGTTAGAATATCAGTGCTAGCTGCAAAAGCAATCCAAAGACAAAAGTGAAACATCAACAATAAGTATTTTTAAAAAGGAAGATGAGTAGCCCAGCCTTAATCCCGTTTCATATGTGTTATTAAGTCTGCATTATTGGAGAGCACTGTCTCACAGCAAGCAGACTACTACTAATGATCATGTTTGCTCTATCACAGTGATCCATTGGGAAAGATGTTGTGTGCTGAAGAACAGGGTCATTCATCCAGGAGATGTGCTTGTCCATACTTCAGGTAAGTTTTCTATGGTTCTGACTCCTATTTGAAAGAAAAGAGGAAAAGAAAAAGATCATTAATGCTTCTCTCCCATGTCTGTGACCTGTGCATGCCCCTAACCCTGGTCCTAACACAGCAGTTGAGGATTCATCACTGAAGTACTACCAGACTGAATCAGTGATCTGGCCAAGTTTATAATGTCTAGAACAGGTAGGAAGAGAGCTGCATCGAAGCTATTTCTGATTGCAGTAGCACATCAGCTTTTTCCTAGGGCTAGTTCTTCAAGCTACGAAGTGAGGCAGGCTGTCAAAATAACCAGCTTTTGCAGTGCCCTGCTGAGGTTTTCCCCCCACTCCTGTCCCTCATGGAGTCCAGAAATAAATGAATTCCTGGCAGAAAAGGAACTGTATACAGGAGCTACCTTCCAGGCCTGAAGCAGTACTACTACCAAACACAGCGTATCTATAGTAGTCAAGGGAAGAAAAATCTTCCCCTATGTGTCTGACCTACTGTCAAAAGGTGCACCATACAGTCTCTTCAAATAAGCATCCAGGCTTCCATATGGCAATAAAATGTCGTCTATCATACTGCCCTCAACAGAAAGATGTTATCTGGTTTTGTGTCCTGACCTGTATATATGTATTTATTAAAACTGAATTCTTTCCCAAAAAGGTGATGTAACTCCTGACTGCTTCAGCATTTCAGCATTATTTTTTTTTTAAAGCACATCAATGCCTAATGAATAAATGGCCTGGTTGAGCCATTAAGTCAGGCTGGCCCCATAAAATGATGTTTTGATGGCATGAACTGCAGATATTCCAGTGACTAAGATCCTACTTCTGTCTCCTGTAATAGTTAAGTAAGTTGCTTTCAACTTAGATTGATAATGTGAAGGAGACTATTCATTAAACTTCATCTATCTGCTGCCTCAGGTTAACTCCCCTGTATATGCTTGGTTTCATTCAAAATGCTTTGCTTTTCATGGCAACTGTTTCAATTACCTCATTAGCATGAAGCTGATATGGACAAGGTATAGATCAGGGCAGCTGTACATCAAATACACAGAGTTCTTTTGGTTCAAAGAAAATTCAATCTCACTTTATTTCAAAAACTCCATGAAAAACCTACACCAACCTTTGATGCCAAAGTAGGTTTCAGTCTGAGGAAGGAGAAGACAGTGTTGCTCTCCTTTGATTCAAAAAATCCATCATAATCCTAGAGAGGAAAAAAAAGATGAGTCAACATTTGTATTCATGTTTTCCTGATTATCATACCACACCATGCTTTAGTCTAAAGGGCGATAATGCTAAGGAAAATACTGATACCTACCCATATTCTCCTATGCAAATCTAAAAGCTATTTTAAACTATAAAGGTATCACCAACCACAGTGGCAAAGAAAAGCACAAAAATTCTTTAACTTACACCACCTTTCACTACTTTATTTGATAGGAAAATATAAATGTGGACTTGCATTAAAAGGATATCTATTGTGGTACATTTTAACGGTATTCAAGTGCCTAACAACACAAATAAGTTTCTGACTGTGTTTGCAATTTGCATTTTAGCAAACAAAATACTTCATAACATGCAAACCAAGAAGTCCTAAGGCAGCTGAACTCCTTATTTCTTGTGTGGTGGAACAGAGACTTCATCAGCAATCATATCTCAGCCTTGGACAACCACATAGTTAAATATAAAATGTTACCATAAAGAAACTCCTTGTTTAGAAAGATAAAAAACAAGCTTCATTAACATGATCAAGTTCGTTTTAGATTTCATTTGCTTAACATCAGATTCTGACGTCAAAGTGTTACTATTGCTTTTACTGATTTATTGCATTGGGCACCTGCTACTCTTCTATCATAAGATGAGCTGACAATATTCAGTTTTCAAGGGAAAAAGAGAAAACCGGAGCAGTTTAGTAAACGGATGTGGCATATGGCAAGGAGCCAGGAAGTTTCAGGTCCTCTTCACGGTTTGGCAAAGATTTCCTGTATGACCACTAGCAAACAATAAAGCACCCAGTTCAGACTCCTTTCCTCCACCACACAACTGCAGAGCTGAAACATTAATCCTTATTTAACCACTTCTGACATGTAAAATACTCTGTAAATGTCAGGAAATTTCAGGTATGTGCTCATCACTACATAGTAATTATCTCTAAATTCTAAGATTAGTAGTCATGCTTAACTTGAAAGCATTCAACAAGAGAAATGCCTTTAAACATTGACTGCGCACCTACATGCTTTCAATACAGAATAGTAACAGGCAGCCCTGGAGCCACAGCAAGCTTTCCATCTGTGTAACAGACATTCCCAATGCACCTCTGACCCACAAAGTTAGCACTTCTTTGGCTCCTAAGCTCTCATCTCATACTTTTTGAGAGCTCATCTCACAGTTACAGTTTCAGGTGCCTTCCCCTCCATTTTTCCCCAGCAGCAGCCGCTTTGCCCACTTGTCACTTTCCACTCCCGCCTTCTCTTCAACATGTAACTTCACAAATTACCCCACAATCACGGGGTTGTGCTAATTGAAAAGCAGAAATCTTTCTCTGACCTGGCTATTCTTGGAAGGCTGTCATGGGATATGCAAAGGTTAGGAACCTTCTATCTTCCATCCAGAGTTTACTTATGCCTAGCCAATAACCACTTGTGGTTACATATTGGCTTCTCAGATCCTAAGCAAGAAGCAAAAATGGTCTGGGCAAGCATTCTGCTTCCCAATATTCCTCTGGGTCTTCACAATGCAGTGTGAATCCCTGATTAGCCCTTCATCCCACTTGCCAGGCACAGTTATAAGATATATCAAATTATATCTTTGCAGAAGGATGGTTGGTATTTTGTGAAATAACTTTGTAAGGAAAGTGTGTGCTTGCAGATGAAGACTTTAGTTCTCTTTGTTCCCTTTTTTTTTCTCTCCACCAACATAAAATAAAAGATTGTTTGGACAGCAAAGTCATAGTCAACATAGCAAAGATAATAGACCTCCCGCAAGATCCATAACCATCCTCGAGATGTGCAGAATTTCTCTTAAAACCTTTACAGTGCACTAGCCAAATATGCTTTACTAGCATCTCCAAAATGATACACTGCTATACCAATATGCACACAACTGTTCTAGCAAAGTGATACTTCGCAGCTTCATAATCATTCAAATACCCTCACCCCAGAAAAAGCAGAGCAGCGCAGAGGCAGTTTCCCTACCTATCCCTCTATAATAAGAGTATCAGCTCTGAAAGACACAGAGAGGCCAGCAGGAGTGTATGGTGGTCATCAGGCCTCAGAAAAACTAGCTGAAATCAGTAGAAAGAGTAAACCTTCTTAAGATGGCTTTTTGTCATCATCTTAAAACATGGCAAAGCGCTGTGCTATAGACTAGGGCAATAAATCAGTATTCCAGGACTAAGCTTTCTGTCTACTGATTCTTCCAGCTTTCATACACATGTATATCTATGTACATATAGAGAGAGAGTGCACACACATTTCTTCTGTGTGGTTTTCAGTTCCATGGTTGTCTCCATGTGTGATATATCATTTCCAATGAATACCATCTACCCATTCCACATTATGGGAAGAGCCAAGTTTATTTGCTTTCACTGACAGGAGGATGAAACATATCAAGGAATAAAACAGTTCTGGTGCAAAGGAAGGTAGAATCTCCTGCAGTGATCAGCATCATAGACTGAAAAACAGACTTTGCAGACAGATGCTGCTTATCATTATGAGCACAGAACTACTACCATTACTGTTTAAAATGCTAACATATTAGACACAGTTTTAAGTTTCCTCACTGTTAATTTTAGGTATGATATGTTCTACCTAAGTTTGAAATTAAACATATAATTAAACAGAGGAAATAGTCACTCTTACATCAACTTAAAAAATCATTAACAGTGATGAACTGATGCTAATTTCATAAGTAACATAAATTTATAATTAATAACCAGAAAGTAAATCCACATAAAATAGACAGATGTCACAACTAAGCCATGGCATAAGCTGAAATAGTACTGAAAGCAACCCCAACAGTGCCATGAATTAAAAAAAGACAATGTAATGATTGAGTACCTAGAGGAGTAGTAAGTAATACTGAAGCTCTGCAGAAGGATGTTTGAGTAAGCCCTTAACCTCTATAAACAAGACTTGAAAAACTGTACATATGGTGTTAAACCTGAAAAAGGTCCAGTGTGATTCTGCTAAGCAGATGAAAAGCCATGAAGGACACAAGCTATATAAGGTACCACATGTGAAGACGGCACGTGATCTAACTGAGAAATAACCTTAATTTTCTCCACTGGGTTCATCTACAAGTAAATCACACTGTCTCCGGAGTTGGATGTAGGAGAGCAGTGGTTGAGTACAACCAACAGCAAGAAGAACAGCACACACACCTTTAATATCAGGGCAGGATAAATTGCCTCAAGATGCTCATGACAGCCCTGTAAACTATCGGCAGCCAACCTGTGGGCCGGCAGCTATTGTGAGCTTTTCTGCAACAGCTTGACACAAGACAGACATCATTCTCACATCCACCAGGAGCACCCTTTCCTCCTATGCACACAGGCAGTTTTCATGAACCCTCAGACACCTCTCTGTCTCAGTGCTTTGTCTGAGGAAGGCTCTTTGGTTTTTTGGGTGAGTGATCTCAACACCATTTTCAAGTTCTGGGGTTGTCCTGACAAATCTTAATCCCAGAAGTTCAATTAGCTCTAAACCACTGCTACTCTAAGTCCATGGGTTTTTCACTCTTTGATAGTAAATTGGAAAGAAAAACAGAGCAGGGAAGGATTCACAGCCTGAAAATAATGTCATAAGAAATAAGGCTGCATTCCTATCTCTGACAAAGACTTTGTGACTCTGCTAATCCACCAATATTTGTTAATACGTGTTTACCTTAACCTCTGCAAAGCAATTTAAAAGACTTTCTAATGCTAAAAAGCTTTCTGAAAGTAACAGTTATCAATTTTTACTCCCAGAAGTACCCGGGACTGATTTAGCACAGGGTTTTTTTTTCACTAATTATCAAACCTGGATTCACTTACTGAAAAAATTGTGAAGATTGCACAGTGAGCTAAAATGAGGAAGTATATGTTTGGAAGAGCACAAATCCCAGTGGACTGATTCATTTGAAAAGGAGCAGAATATTTATTACCACAACAGATAATCCACTAAAAGCAACTCCCTAAAGTTTTGAAATATCTGCATTGCAAAACATATCAAAATGCTATTGACACTTTCTTACTTTCATAGGGAACGGGGGAAAAGCACCATGATTTTAGATAAAGCAGCAGTGAAATTCTGAATAGAAGAATTTTCCTACTAATCATTGCAATAAAAACATATGATCTCAAAATAATCACATGTGGGAAAAAATGTTAGCAAAATGCATAATAGTCCCATAAAAGGTGAAGAAATCACTTTAGTAGGTTAGTTTCTTAAGAGATTTTTGAGAAGCATGATCTCAAGGAACACGATCTCAAGGATTCATCAGCTGTGCCTTGGTATGTGGTAGGAGTTCAAAGTGGGCATCCCTGGCTTTCCTGTTCCAGCCAAGGTAACAGATGTTCCAAAAACATCCTGCCTTTGACCTTACTTTCATAAGGAGAGAAAGTCTGTGCAGAGTTGGATGACATGTAAAGACACTAAATCCATGTGTGAGGACAAGAAAATTCTTGTCTCGCATAAAGAACATTCCACTGCTACCAGCAGTAGATGCAGAGGTTCAAGAAGAAAAATGGTGCAAAGCTCAGTGGAAGCTGAGAGCTTTGTACCCAGTCAAGAACCCAACTTGGTTGCAAGCCAATGGGTTCCACTTAGAAAAACTCAGTGTGACACTCTGCCTCCCACAGAGGAAGAACACCACCATCTGCTGGTTTTGGCAAGGCAGTGGTTCCCTGTTTCTGCACCAGGTTCTACCACCAGCAGCAAGCTACTACAATCCCTCTGTCACTGTTCCAGGCAGCCAGCAGGCACTTCGGCTTTGCTGGGATCAGCTGAGCAGTGCTGTCTCACCCCTGTGCAAGGAAGTGGCTCCCACTGAGGCCCTGGAGGCACTCAGAAAGCAGCTGTTAACCTAAAAATACATGAGCATGGCAAACTGCCACCCACTGCCCCACTTCAAAAGGCAACTGTGTGCACAAATATCATTTTGACTATATCGTTTTGAATGATGATCCTTGGTGCTTTCCAGAGCTGCTCATTACACATCATTAAC